GTCACATCGTCACAAGAAGTTATGAATTAAAATATGTCCCTTAGGAGTTTTCGTCGCATTATGCACCACAGAGGCGGCGAAAACGCCGGCATTTAGTTAAGGAGCTCAGACTGCTACAGAGGAGTGGCGAACGACCGCATAATTGAAAGACACTCCCGGTATTTATGGACCCGTCCCGTGCGTATGTCTCCACCACTAAAGCAGACGATAAGGGTGGCGGCATCGTCAGCTAACCAAGGAAAAAGACTGAAATATTTATGAACGAATGTGCAAAGTCTGCTATGTAAATTAGACGATAATAAGATTTACGTAAGTCAAAACTTACCGCGAACGTGGACGATCGCAAAGTCGCTCCTTCTGGTTTTCACTTGTACAGAAAAGACAGGGTGGGAGGTCAAGGTGGGGATGGGTTCACATGTGTTAAATAGGGTCTGCTTGTGTCAGGAAAAGAGGACAACTCGCACGCAAAACTGAGACAATTTGGCTCAAAATCCAAACGCAGGGGTCTGAAGCTCTCGACATTCTGGCGGTCAACAGGCCACCGAGTACGACTCGCAGCCAGGCAGCAGTCAGATGGAGGATTTAGATGTGATTTTTATCCAACCCTATGTCATGATTTTGACAACTTTAACGCTCCGAATATCGACTGGAGTCTGAAATCTGCCCAAGGATCGGAACTCAACTTCGGTTGCCCCCTACTACATGCAGTGCAAAAATCACATCCCACACAACATGTCTCATCTCAAACCCAACTAGGTGAAGGGCAACTGGCGAACTGTTTGGAAACTGTATTGGCAAAAGCGTCTGATGGCGTCTATGTAGTAAACTATTCTCCCCCTCCCTGAAAAAACCATCATGTTGTTCTACAGTGGGATTATTCTTTTTTTCTGTACATGGCCGATGCATCACGGTCAAACACAAAATATGTCACGAAGATTTTGAAGAACTGCAAATAGACATGCGTCGTGTAGCCTGGAAAGCAATATTCACGGGGTGTGTTTTCATAGACTGGTTAGAATTTAAAGCCGTATCGCATGGTCTCACCATCAGATACTGCCCTAGATCGCACAAGACGATCACAAACAGGCACATTAATGAAAGAAGTTCACTGTGCGCGAAAGCTGTGGAAAGCTTTTCTCACTAAGAATGCAATCGAACCAACGAATAACTACAGTGCACAGAGACGTAGAGTCAGTTGTCTTGTTTATAAAGTCAGAGAAGACTTTGAAAGTAGCCTATTAAACCATGCAGGAGAAAACCCGCAGCTTTTTTCAATTACACATGGCAAATCACCGTCAATAGGGATCCCATTACTATGTTAAAAAAGATGTTGGTTTTGGACTTTGCAAGAACGACGAAAGGCTCAGCATCTATCTAAGTTCTTTCAGTCGGTTTTAAGGAGAGAAGTCTGTTTTCTCGCTGATAAGGATAAGGTGGCTGAGGTCCCTAAAAGTGACTCAGTGGTTATCACAAGAGCTGGTGATCAGTACGAACGGCTGAAACCGAAACAACCTAAATTGTCAGATCCTGATGAAATACCCACAAAGTTGTGGAAGGTGCTAACGAGAGATTTGACAGAGCCCCAATGTCTTCTCTTTCAAGTCTCCGTTGATGCAGACAGACTGCCTCCTAAGTGGAAGGCTACAGGGATTCCACCGATATATGAAAGTAGCAGTTGCGCTTCCGAAAACAACTACCGATCTGTAGGCCTCACCTCCATGTGTCGCAAGGTAATGGAGCGAATTATTAGACGCGAACCGGTGCAGTCTTCGGAGCACAATCATCTTCTTTTTGATCAGCAATATGGGTTCCGCAGAGGAAGGTCCTGATTAGTTAATTTGTTCTACTGTCTAGGACGCTGGGCCCGTACGAGTAATGGAGGACACTTGGTGCACGAAGCCCACACAGACTTTAGGAAGGCTTTCGATAGTGTGCCACACCACCGTCTCCTATTCAAGCCCTACCGCATAGAGATAAAAGGCAAGGTTTTGATGCAGATCGAAGAATAATTGACTGGTCGATCTCAGACTGTTCGTCTTGGTGACCAGCAATCAGTGGTGGTAATTGTTGCAAACGGAGTTAGATAGATAGATAGATAAATTTTTATTAAAGACCCGTCGGGGTCCCATCAAAGCAAGTTAAAATAAATTTACATGTGAGTTTTAGACGAGTCAGGCCGAATCTTTACGAAATGCAATTCATAGTTTCTGAATTAGTAGTCCATTGAGAAACGTAATTAGTAAGGGGTGAAAAAAAACTCCATAAAAAAAGTTAAAAATGATTGGATTAATTTTACAGGAGAAAAAACCCCTCAATAAAAATAATAACAGAAAAAAGCGAGCAGGACTGGCCTGTAGGTGGCGGTACATAACGGATTGTTGTCGGTCATCGTCAGAGTAGCAATAAATCTCAGCCTTGAGGGGTACGTATGCGGGTCAGACAGGACTGGCCTGCATGTGGTATTGTATACGGGATTCACGATTGACATCGTCTGGGCCGGATTGATACGCCGCATGAGACTATTCGCGTCAAAGAGGCCAGACGAGAGGAACCCAGACGCGATCCGCCACAGTAGGCTTCGTGCTCAGCTGAGCAGTGGGGAA